TCCACTCAGATTTTCAGTTCCAGTTCATTTTCCAAGACTCACAGACTCACGAATCGTGAGCCACTGTGGAATGGACGACGCGAAAAGTACTTCGAAACGCGATTTATTTCAGTTTTATTTAGTGAGGGGGAAATCGCGCATTTGTATTACGTTCAATATTATTATTGAAGCAAACTTTCGTAGAACGCGAGTGAAAAATTGAAAGAAAAGAACGAACGCGAATTGATATCTTTTTTGAATTTACGATAGATGAAAATTTGAATAAAATACGCGACGATAATTGGGAAGTATCAGTTAAACGCGTAAAAATATTCAATAATAAGCGAACTAGGGATGAAGCTATTGTTTCAAAACGCGATTCACCGACTCTAGTATTTATAAAAATTGAAAAATTCAGAAAATTAGCGGTAAACTACTGAGACGGTTTAATTAGGGTGGGCACAGTGCAACGAGTGTAGTCCACTCGTTGCAAATCAGCAAATCACAATATAAAATAAAATAATTCAACTAACTACATCATGCAAATCATGCAAATATCGTAAAATCAATTCAATATCACAGAAAATCATAGAAAAATTGTAAAAATAAAAGAAATTCAAGAAACTGAAAGAAAATTTCAAATTAGATTCAATAGCTGAAATAAAAGTAAATATTATTAAGCTGTAACGACAAATTTTGAATTAATTTCGATAAACACCTGAAACGCCGAAAATTTTCATTAGTAGAACCTCGAATTCGTTTAAAATCGATATCCTATTCCTATCCCAAGATCAAAATCTCGATTTCCCTAAACTCTCAAACTAATTTCGCGATTTCCGATTCGAAGGGGAATATTTAAAGACCGATAATAATTTATTAATAAATATCGATACTTGGAATTTACTGAAATTAATTTAAAAATAAAAATTTCATGTAGAATATGCAAAGTCTGATAGTACTTGCCCATAAGCATTAATAAATGCAGAACCAATTTAGTTTAATTAAAAAGAAAAGAAAAATTCAAAGTCTAATAGTAACTTTCCAAGTATCGATAATTCAGAATGCTAGTGTATGTTAAGTTTGAGAAGGCAGAGTGTGTATAGAGAGGACATAGGCTAGCTAGTAGCCCCCGACCACTCTATTCACATCTCAGAACCTTTAAGACTAATTTGCCGCGAAGTGTCTATGGCCCAGTATAAAGGGTGAATGAGTTCCCGCGACCTCGGCGGGTCCTTATATAACTTCGGTACCCTCTCCCCAAAATCTTTAGCAAAATTGGGCGCGAAACCTCCTTTTACGCGGGAAATCGACTACTTTACGCGGGAGATCGACCATATTTCGCGGGAGATCGACCATTTTTCGCGGGAATTGATTATTTTTCGCGGGAGATTTCCATTATTCTATTCTAACTTTCTAACAGCCTATAATTTATTAATTTTCACAAGTTTTATTGTAAATTCATACTTCTCACAATTTCTTACAACACAACATATTATCATTTATACATTTTTGCAATTTTTTTCGGCGAATAATTACGTTTTAACGTTATTATTACTTTCTCGTGGTGGGACTGTGTTCGTAACGATTAAAATCAGGTTGACCTGCGGTCGTGCACTGAAGAAATAGCCAGAGTGAAGGTAGAATTATTACGTTAATTACATTTTCTTACAAATCGAAAGTTTATTCAACGTTTGTTTGTTATAATATCGTGAAATGAATTATTTATGCAGTTCTGTGCATTTTCTGTGCAGTTCAATCTAATTTACTTAAATTCACGCGACTATTTTTCGCGGGAAACCGATTACTTTTCGCGGGAAACTTCTGTTCTTCTATTATGATGTAACACGGTATAATTATTAATTTTATACGTTTCTATAACTTTCTTCAATGGATAAATACGTTTCAATGTCCTCGTTACTTACTGGTGGTTTAATTAATTTGCTAAGGATTAAAAATCAGGTTGACCTGTGGTCGTAGATTAAAAATAACCATAGTACAGCTAAATTTATCGTGTTAAATAATTCTTTTTACACGACTGAAAAATGTATTCAACGTTTGTTTGTTGCGATACCGTGAAATAAATTGTATTATATATTTTCTCAGTTTAGACTGAATTTAAAGTTCGTAAGGATTAGAAATCAGGTTGACCTGTGGTCGTAGATTAAAAATAACCATAGTACAGCTAAATTTATCGTGTTAAATAATTCTTTTTACACGACTGAAAAATGTATTCAACGTTTGTTTGTTGCGATACCGTGAAATAAATTGTATTATATATTTTCTCAGTTTAGACTGAATTTAAAGTTCGTAAGGATTAGAAATCAGGTTGACCTGTGGTCGTAGATTAAAAATAACCATAGTACAGCTAAATTTATCGTGTTAAATAATTCTTTTTACACGACTGAAAAATGTATTCAACGTTTGTTTGTTGCGATACCGTGAAATAAATTGTATTATATATTTTCTCAGTTTAGACTGAATTTAAAGTTCGTAAGGATTAGAAATCAGGTTGACCTGTGGTCGTAGATTAAAAATAACCATAGTACAGCTAAATTTATCGTGTTAAATAATTCTTTTTACACGACTGAAAAATGTATTCAACGTTTGTTTGTTGCGATACCGTGAAATAAATTGTATTATATATTTTCTCAGTTTAGACTGAATTTAAAGTTCGTAAGGATTAGAAATCAGGTTGACCTGTGGTCGTAGATTAAAAATAACCATAGTACAGCTAAATTTATCGTGTTAAATAATTCTTTTTACACGACTGAAAAATGTATTCAACGTTTGTTTGTTGCGATACCGTGAAATAAATTGTATTATATATTTTCTCAGTTTAGACTGAATTTAAAGTTCGTAAGGATTAGAAATCAGGTTGACCTGTGGTCGTAGATTAAAAATAACCATAGTACAGCTAAATTTATCGTGTTAAATAATTCTTTTTACACGACTGAAAAATGTATTCAACGTTTGTTTGTTGCGATACCGTGAAATAAATTGTATTATATATTTTCTCAGTTTAGACTGAATTTAAAGTTCGTAAGGATTAGAAATCAGGTTGACCTGTGGTCGTAGATTAAAAATAACCATAGTACAGCTAAATTTATCGTGTTAAATAATTCTTTTTACACGACTGAAAAATGTATTCAACGTTTGTTTGTTGCGATACCGTGAAATAAATTGTATTATATATTTTCTCAGTTTAGACTGAATTTAAAGTTCGTAAGGATTAGAAATCAGGTTGACCTGTGGTCGTAGATTAAAAATAACCATAGTACAGCTAAATTTATCGTGTTAAATAATTCTTTTTACACGACTGAAAAATGTATTCAACGTTTGTTTGTTGCGATACCGTGAAATAAATTGTATTATATATTTTCTCAGTTTAGACTGAATTTAAAGTTCGTAAGGATTAGAAATCAGGTTGACCTGTGGTCGTAGATTAAAAATAACCATAGTACAGCTAAATTTATCGTGTTAAATAATTCTTTTTACACGACTGAAAAATGTATTCAACGTTTGTTTGTTGCGATACCGTGAAATAAATTGTATTATATATTTTCTCAGTTTAGACTGAATTTAAAGTTCGTAAGGATTAGAAATCAGGTTGACCTGTGGTCGTAGATTAAAAATAACCATAGTACAGCTAAATTTATCGTGTTAAATAATTCTTTTTACACGACTGAAAAATGTATTCAACGTTTGTTTGTTGCGATACCGTGAAATAAATTGTATTATATATTTTCTCAGTTTAGACTGAATTTAAAGTTCGTAAGGATTAGAAATCAGGTTGACCTGTGGTCGTAGATTAAAAATAACCATAGTACAGCTAAATTTATCGTGTTAAATAATTCTTTTTACACGACTGAAAAATGTATTCAACGTTTGTTTGTTGCGATACCGTGAAATAAATTGTATTATATATTTTTTCTGTTTACACTAAATTTAAAGTTCTGTTTACATGTTATAACGATTAGAATGTAGACGTTTTGCCGTTTCACGGTTTTTCCTCTGTTAATTATGTGTTTATAAATCATTTCAAACTAAAGCAGCACCATGCCCACCCTAAATTAAACCGTCTCAGTAGTTTACCGTAATTAATAATCTATTTTCGGAATTTATGCGAGAATTTTTGAATTTTAGTAAATACTAGAGTCAGTGGATCGCGTATTGAAATAATAGCTTCATCCGTAGTTCGTTTATTATTGAATATTTGACGCGTTTAACTTATGCTTCTCCCCAATTTTTGTCGCGTATTTTATTCAAATTTTCTTATATTCTAGAATCGGAAAAGATACGAATTCGCGTTTTTTCTTTTGATTCTTTCAATTTTTCACTCTCGTTCTACGAAAGTTTACTTCAATAATAATATTAAAAATTTTTCTGGTGATTTGGTTTAGTAATTAGTTGTGTTGTGTATTGCCAGCTCAAATATGAGCTGCTTAATGTATATGTTTAAAATGTATTTTCTTGTGGCCGCCTGACAGCAACCTGTAAATCTGGCGTGACAGTGAACGTGTTAATAAGGAAATGTTGTTCATTTTCATCAGAAAAATCTCATCAATATGTTAGGAAAAATTTCGGGATAAAAAAACGTAATATTAAAAAAGTTGATATTTAAATCGCTTGGTTGCCTCGACTCAAGTTTCATGCTTATCTTTTATTCGCTGTCCTTGTCTACATTCGGCAAACTACAAAGGCGGGCGCGAGGCTCGAAAACGTAGTCCCTGACTCTACGAGTGTCAGGTTTAGCTTCCTTGCGGACTGAAACTTGTGGAGAATATACTGTATAGTGTAAAGGATAGGAAGAAACTCACTCGAGACACTTTTTTCTTGGTATAAACCTCGTCGTCCTCGGAGGCTGTAGCGAAGTTCAAATTTCCTTCGCAATATCCAGCGCCTATTCCCATCCTGTATATTTCGTCCTTGCAGGATCTACCATCCAAACTGCAAACAAAAACGAATACAACTGTATATCGAAGTTCTCCTTATTCGATCTTTTTTTCAAATTTTTAACGTGCGAATAATATTAGGTCATCCTAAAAATAATGTCGCTTCTTAATTTGGTTCAATATTTACATCAAGAACAACAATTCATTAATAATTTAAATTTATTTCGTTTACTAGAAAATTTTTTAAACGACAGAAACTTAAAAAAATAAAGATCACTTAAAGTTACCGTTAGGCCAGTGTTTTTTTTTTAATCTAAAAGATAAGAATTTTTTTGAAAAAGAGTAGTAAATACGAGTGTAAGTAGGTAAGTGTGAATACTATTATATTTTGTATTGAAATTGGACTCCTAATAAACATATAAATGACGATTTAATTTTCCCGCGAAAATTCGTAATTGTCGAGAAGCAATAGCGAGTTAAATATAGGCGAAACAATTTCAAAATGATCCTGGGAATTTCGTAGCGACAGTCACTAAAGGATCGAGAATTCCTGTCGCGATTGCACAGTGACGCATGGTGTTCCGACGAAAAGAAATTTCCCGCGACAGTTCCGTGAACAATAGCAGCAACGGCAGAAAGGATGTCGTGTCCGAATAACTCTCGTCCGCTTTCACATTCGTGCGAGTTTTAACAGAAACAAGAATCCAGCTAAAGGTTCACTTTGGGACTCTCAGAAAATACTAATTCCTCTGTAATCTGACTAAATGTGTGCGTTCAGTGATAATAAAAATTCTCAAATATTGCCCAAAATATATGGGCATTTAAATCCCCAAACAATAACACCGCAACGAAGTCGAAACATGCCTTTTGCTTACTAATCGTTCTTTCTTTAATTTATACGTGTAAAAAACTGTCCTCGAAATTTGAAGAAAATTCGCTGCATAGTTTCCGAAGAAAACGCTAACAAACTTTCATACGAATTTAGTAAAGGAGGTATAAGCTCTATAATTCACTATTGTTCACTTCTATTTTGTAACAAGTATCAAATAAACGAGGATAACAAAAAGAAAAAAAGAATATTCGAGGTTACAAAGTGTCGTTCCTATTTAACCCTTTCGCTGTGACAAATTTCAGTGCGTGGCAGACCCAGAAGAATCTTAAAATCTACTCCTTTGGGCGTGTCGTTTCAAAATTGATTTTACTAAATTAAGATGACAATGCACAAAGAATAAAATTCAGGCTTAGATTAAGACAGAAGTGGGCTAAAAGGAACAAATTTTCAAAGCGCCTACAGGCGTCAACAGGAATAAAAGGGTTCAGCAAAGAAGATATGAACTAACAGACAAAATATCTATTGCCCGTACTACATTATCAGATTGTATCAGATATCAAATAAACGAGGATAAGAAAAAAAGAAGGAAATATCAATCCGATCGATACTAACTGAACGACCGTAATTCCGTAAAAGAGGAAAGATGAGTCAAAGGACAAAGGTGAGCCTGTCGTTCGATCGACAGCCAAATTGAATCGAGATTTCTCCTGAGCAACGGGGTTTACCAGATGACGAGCACGTGTTCATCGATCGCCGCGCGATACCCGCGGAATTTCTTCAAGCGGAAACACAGCACTCGCCCACAGCTTGTGGCGAGTAACAGACTTTACGTAACGTTTCTCGCTACGATACGAACGTTTCAGTCAATAACCCGACACACCACGTCCTCTGCCCCGTTATAGATTTTCCGCCATAAATAGAGTGGACGGAAAAGGCACGAGTCTCCCGCTCATTATTGATAACACCGCGGCAATGTCGTACCGCATAAAAATTGCAACTGACACCGGCTACCGTACAGCTGACCGGCCACTGTGACAGCCTAACGATACACCGCTTTCCCATCGGCATTAATATTCAGGCGCAGCTTAAGGGTTCTCATGTATCTGTGATTCGACGCCGTGGAAAAATCATCAACCCTCTCGAATCGCGATGATAGAATGAGGTCTAAAGGGGAATCATCCTCGACGTCGTAGAACACGAAATATGTAGTTTCCAAGAGAATTCCGAGACGTTATCCTGCAATTTTGTTTAACCCTTTCGTGACCAAATCCTGTGTGTTTTTTTTTTTTTTCAATTTGCTATTTAGGTATCTGCTGGATATTGTTATCTCTGTGATGGACACTAAATTGAGATCAATCTTTGTCCGAGTACTCAAGCGGGACATATGCGTCTCACTGGTCACGAAAGGGTTAATGAGAATTTAACTCATTTAATGCTGTGAACTGATGTACCACTTTTTAGAAAGATCACGAATCGCAAGTTTACGTTTGCAAAGTGTTTAGCATGTCTAACGAATGTTCAATTAAATTACTATATTAACTACAGAAGAAGCGCCTGGGTCAAAAATGACCCATTGGTAACTTTCCAAAAGTGAATTTTCATGTAACTGAATTATGATTAAAAAATTGGATTCGTAGTGATACAACTAGAAGTTGTTTCTGACCCCATCGGCCTGTCTAGCGTTAAAGATACTTCGTGTATATACACCTATAGAAGACTTCTAACGTTCCCTATAAATTGTATGATAGCCGGGGCTGTTGAGAAGGCTAAGGAAACGTTCCACATATTGAAACGTTCAAACGACATCAATATAGACTATTCACTAGCTATTCTATTCGAAGCTATTCATAGAGTATTCTCTTCCACTCCATTCACTGGCTTCAATGCCATCGGAAGATTTTTAATTAAAAAAATTGACCGGCCAAATAAAATACTTCGGTGACCAATCATTTGTAGAGGTACTACGTGCAAATTGAACGAAGTGAAACAACTACGAGCTTAGCTGAGAAAAGCTTCTAACGATTCTGTTCACATTTCGTTCATTAACCCTTTCACCAAACCCTATTCAAATTTTATTTACATTAAATTGAAACGAACTAACAAAGATATAAAAGGAAATTAATTCGCAAATAATCTTTTCCTCTAAAACCAAATTTTTGAATTTCAAATCTCTCACTTCTAAAGCATGCTAGAGTTGTTCGTCCAAGTGCAAACGGATTCACCGATTACTGGTTTCAATGTCGTTAGAAGATTTTTCGTTTAAAAAAATTCACCGAGTAAATAAAATTCTTGGTGACCAGTAATTTGCAGAGGAACTGTATGCAAATGAAATGGATGAATTTGACGTAGAAATGAAGAATTACGATTAGAAAAGTCTCGAACGATTCCCTTCACGTTTCCTTCATTAGTCACAGAAGTGAAGGCGATTATAGTGCGCAAAGATTGAATCTAAAAACACGTTAGCTGCGTGTTTTTCGTTCCTCTCGCTCGTAAACAACAAATCCCTTGTTTATCAATTCGCGGGAATAATTAATTGCGCGGAAAGTTTGGACAGTGCCAAACCCCGATTCCACGCCACGGAATAATCCGCGTGCCAAGGTGAATACTGTGTTTTTCGAACGGCCTGAAAAGCGTCACACGTTTCAAGCTAAACTTACGCCATAACGAACACACAGATGGCTCCACCGTGAGCTAATTACTATGCACACATAATTAAAGCTCTCCGTCACGAATGTCACAATGCCTTCCATCTGAGAAACGAGCCGTGCCAAGCTACAATAAACAAAATATCATTGGCTCGAAGGTAACTGCGATGCCACGTGCGCCTTACATCGTGCCGCACACGCTGCTGTTTCGTTTCCTTAAAAGCGCGAGTTTCTGGAAACGTTCGTTAAAACGGAACACTAAAACGGGTAAATAACTCACTCGAAACTTAAAAAAACAAAGAAAAAAGAAGTAGATAACAATGTATTCGATATGAAGCAAAGCTGGTTTGAACAGAGAGCGATCTCACCTGAACAAATTTCGACACTTGCTTTCCCGCGGAAAAATTTGAAATTTTGTAGAAATTAAAAATTTTCAAACTTCGAAAATTTCAAGATTTCACTTGACTTTTAATCCAATTTACCATCGATTGGTTTAACAAAGTCAGGCGAAAAAAAAAAAATAAATAGAATCAAAGAATTATCGTTTCAAGTACACCAAGTAATAATTAGTCTCTTGTCGCTAATTATACACGAGTTGTTCGGAATCGCGCGTCAGACAGCTGCTATCCTCCTGTGTACTGCCGTTGCTCATAAAATTTCCCTGCAGCGACACGTGCCGAGTTTTTCTCTGCTCGCAAGTTAAACATTGCGTTGATCATGTAACACGTATGACGAGTTCGATGCGCAAGATTCGCGTGATCGAGAGGAGAGAAAAAGTCGTCTAGATCGTCTCTTTTCTTCTGTCCGTTAACGGTATAAGAACTTTTGCGTCAACGTCGGATTCCGGATTCTCTTCGAATGATTACGATCGCGATGACTCTATGAGACAGTAATGCGAATACCGTGAATATCGCGACAATTTTCAAACCACTCATATAGGCGCCAAGAACAATTAAGGGGTTATATGGTCTTTCTCCCTTTTTCTTTCGTCAGCATATTTTCATATTAATTCTTGGTCGAGAATTAAGCCAGACGATCGATATTGATTATTAAAATATGTAAATTGACTCGATGCAATAAAAATGGTAAATGCTAGGAACAGATAGAATATTTGTAGTGATTTTGAAAAATCAGAGGTCTTGCATAACTACCGAAGACAAATATACTTTTTCTAGAAATATTACTTGCAAAAACAACGACAGATTTTATTGGTCTTTCTAGATGAGATTATTATACTGTTCACGTGTTAAATGGTATTGCGTATAATTATTTCACAATAAATATCTTCCATGCTATAAAATTTCAACGTTGACTGAGACAAGCATCTACTTGCCCTATGTAAAACACGTTTTTATCTATGAAGAGTATCTCGAAACTGATTCAATAAAGGAATAAACAGTGAAACTCAACAAAAAAGTAGGATTAAATGGTACTAGTACATACGTATTTCTAATTTTATTCAAACACAACGAAAAAGTGTCTCAACCATATTTCAATCTAATCACGTGTCTCAACCACAAAGAGTGAATTACAATTGCTTCAAATGAATTAAAAAATTCCAGCAAACAGTCAAACTTA